CGGTTCTGTACCCAAGTTATTAACGAAATATAAAGTCGATGAAGATAATCGATCAATGTTACTAAGGACCTAATACATTGTTCAGCTTGATTTCATGCTTTTTTTCCAGGGTTGATGTCTCTAAAATCCAAAATGTGAGATACATGTATACCTTGATATAACGTAACTGTTCCTTTTGCCTTTCATTGAACCCCGAAGGACGAATCCAAGGATCCAAACTGCATCGCATAACACTCGACAACGATTGTGCGGTACTCCCATTTGCTTCGCACACTCTTTTCCAACTTTTCTTTGAGAAAGCGATCCACCCAATGAGTTGTACACTCCATGCGTCACAGGGAGCGAATAAAATACAACAAGCAGCTAACATCTTCTTTGAGTTCTTTGCCGTCTTTGCCTACCACGATAGCATGCAGAACAGATGAATAAGTGCACAACAAAGAAGACTGTTGTCTTGTTGCTGGGTTTCCCATTTACAACCCTACACTTTGTGCCGCTCTTTGCATCGGAGTCGTTGAGCGGCACATTGAGTTTTTGTTATTTCTGGGTGTGTGGGTCATTCTTCTCTTCTCCGCTGCTTTACACTTACACAGGCTGAAAACTTCGAGTTTGCTTGATTTTAACATAATGGATGTCAGAAAATTACCCCATTGAGTGATCAGGCTTCCAATCAAAATGACATCTGAGACATAGTTGTAGGGAAAAAATCCTTTTCTGAAAAAAATACACGGTAAAATATTTCAAATAATTTTGTGTACAAAATCATTAGAAGTGATTTAATCTTAAATATAAAAAAACTGCCCCTTTAATGTTTTTAGAATAATTACCATTAAAAAGCTTTTAAAGAATGCTATCTTCTGGCCATTTTCTTTTATGTTGGAACAGTGTCCAACTTAAAATGTTCACAAAAGATATAATTTTTCAAAAGCTTTTTAATGAAAAGTATTCAATAATTTTTGAACAGTGTCATTTGTGGTAGGTTAAGTGTAAAGCACGTTTTTGCATTTTTTTTTTTCGAAAGTTTAGCTTAAATGATTGAACATATAAAACAATTATGCTACGTTTCTTGCCGATCGGAGAAGGTCGGGTCTGAAATTAATTATTTTCTGCTAATTGTCGTGGAAGTGCTCTGGAGTGTTTTAAAATCCCTCTAAAACAGTGTTTATGAACAGCCTCCAATGTGAAACACAACATGGAATGTGTTTGCAGCTGAGTTCTTAACGACAGAGAATGTCGATGAAGAGTATCAATCAATACAGAAAGGGCCTTTGTTTAGCAGCTCAGCAAGAAAAAAAAAATTAAATGCTTTATTAATAAGAATCTAGAAGTTGTTGATGATTGGATGTGTTTCTAAAATTTCATGCAAAATTTATTTGAATCAAAAATTATCTTCAGATGATCCAATCTCCTTAGAGAGAAGGGCTATGAGTGTGTTGATTTATTTCCATTAAATTCTGTTCTAATTGCTTATCTTTTGACAGATACGCGTATTTCGTCTACTACTTGCAGACTTCATCAGTGCCAAGTACTCAACACCACAATGATGAAGTTGCAAGTAGCAGACGAAATACGCGTATCTGTCAAAAGATAAGCAATTATAACGGAATTTCAAGGAAATAAACCAACACACTCAAAGCTCTTCATAAAGGGATTCCGTTAAGACGTTCGACGAATTTAAAAGAACCTTAGAGAGGTAAATTTTCCGATTTTTTTATGGGAGTAGTGGTCAAAGTAGCCTGGATTTCTATCGAGTTAGGGAGAGTATTATCATAGAGGTAACTCTAAGACTAGAAGGTCCCGAAATAACGTGCTCAACTTGTTGGCTCAGCTCTGGTACTCTCTTCGGTCCCAAGCTAATCGATTCACCCCTTGAAACATAGGAAAAACCAATAACCCCTCATTTTACCTGTCAAACTTTCATAGCGAATCAAAACAAACATTGCGTAGTACTAGAATTTCGACTAGAATGGGGTACGTTAATCGTTTGCTTGGGACCAATAGACTAGTCAAGTAATGAGCCAATTTAAAATCGTTAGTTTCGTATTGATTGTTGGTATTATTGTGCTGTTCTAACTAGCATAAAAATCAACTCATAGTTCAGGATCATCTGAACATAAATTTAAATTTACATAATTTTTTCGTTAAATTTTAGAAACAAATAAAAATTAATCACGGAGTAGCAACCATTGCACAATGGGAAAAATGAACGAAAAAATACATTTTATTTTGTAGCATTTCCGAAACTCGCTGAAACAAAAATATGGTTCATATCATATCATTTTTGTAGGATTATTATTATTATTATTATTATTATTATTATTATTATTTAGCTTTATTTAGGAGGCTTTCAGCCTTAGGCTGGTTCGCCTCCACCTATTTTTTTTTGTAGGATTACAACTCGCGGAATCAAATGGAAATAGTTTCAACCTGAGATGAATACAGTAAGTTTGGATTTTTTGTTTTTTTTTTTTATTCTCAAGGGATTTTTTTTTAAATGATGAAACCATTTCCATTCGATTCCGCAAGTTGTTTACCTACATAAATGATTTGAACTATATTTTTGAACCAGCGAATTTCAGTGGTACACAATTATATGTAAATTTTCGTCCATTTTTCCCTATTGTGCATTGATATGTGCAGTCAGTCTAAGCTAAGCCCCGTAACGTGGGTAGATCACCTTTTCGTGGTACGTTAGATCTACCACCGATTCCTAGTCTTGACTACTTCAAACTAGGGGAACAGGATTTTTCAGTAATCAAAGGAACACATCTTAGTCCTTGTTACTTTTTATGCCTTGTTGATAGTGATAAGTCCTCGGGTTGCCTGGACCGAGGATGATCTTGAAACAAGGAAAAACGAGTTTTTGTAATCAAAGGAACACATCTTAGTCCTTTTTACTTTTTATGCCTTGTTGATAGTGACAAGACTCGGCTTTGTCCACCGAGGATAATCTTGAAACAATGAAAAAAATGAGTTAGGTAGTTATTTTTCATCTACGTGATCCCTAATCTTTTATTCGCTGTTCTCTAGCTGGAAGTGGTTAAGACTAGGGTTCTGATGCATGGTCATTATCGGTGTCATAGCTTGTTTTTGTCCAATTTTGACTTAGGGTATTTCAACACTCCGAAGGGTATAAATAGCGGGACCATCAAAATTAGAATCGATTCCTTGCGATGAAGGCAAGAATGACAACTGTATCAAAACCGAATACTTCATCATTTCTCAATAGTGATGGAGTAATACGACATGCACTAAACTAAGGACACGGAATATACTACAATAGATCAAATTACTGGTCGCATTGGTTTTATGTCCCGAACGGAAAAAGAAAAGCTAAGCTTGAGATGCCTTTCTATTTAGTTTTAACAATTTGTTGGTTTCATACTACTCATATATTTTGATCCATCAATGTTTTCAGATCATGCCCATTTAAGGCCACTTGGTAAAGTTAGCGTTTTAGCGTATTTTGGTCGATTTTGGCTATTTTTAAAGTATTTATTGCGTTTTTAACCCTTTGTCTGTACCTCTAAAATAAAACAAACTTCATTACGAAAATCCTTCAATATGTATCAACTAAGAGGCAGACATATTCAGAAAACTTTAACATGCAAAAATGTTAGAGAAAAAATCGCTACCTCTAAAAAATAAAACAAAGTTCATTGTGAAAATCCTTCAATATGTCTCAACTAAGAGGCAGACATATTCAGAAGACTTTAACATGCAAAAATGTTAGAGAACAAATCGCTACGATGAATAATCAAGGTTGCAAACATTGCCTGGGGTCATATTGACCCCAAGATACAGACAAAGGGTTAAATAGCTTTGATGCCGTTCTGAAGGCTAATAGTATTTCTCGAAGTGATGTTTGTAGTTCCGAAAAAGAGGGATCTGGCTGGAAGGAAACCATTCTATTGAAAAGTGTCAACAGATGACGAATCATTCGGATATTGAGTTGGTTATCTGCATGCTGCTTCTCCGTAAATTGTTTTGAGAATGCTTCGGATGCCATCCCCCGCACGATAAACATTGTAGATGGTGTGAAAGAAAATTGTAGACGGAACGCAAACCGTGGTTCATTAATACGTCCTACAACGTTTCGTTTGTGATACAGGAAGAGTTTTGATTGACTGCAAAGAGGTCCCGCAGAGCTGTTTGGACTTTTAAACATACGTATTGTTTCGAATGCTTCTGGGTCAATTGACCAAATGCCGTTTGGCCGAATGGGTCATTTGGCCGAATACTGATTGGTTGCAAATTTTAACGAAGACTGACCTCATATATAGAACATCAAAATTCAAATTAACTGCTCATGTTGAGAAGAAGGAAACATCACCTAAAATTTTAAATTCTGTTGAATTTTATGGCAAGCTGCATTTGCTGGGCGAAAAATAACTAGAACCTCAAAACTCCAAAGAACTGCTCATGTTTAAAAATGGAATAATTTCCCCCTTATTTAAATCTCCATTTTCTTTAATTTGATGGCAAGCTGTATTAGTTCATTCAGGCAAAAGTCATGCGGCCAAACGACATGCGTCCGTTTCGCATAATTGAATGAGATATTTCTTATTACATATCTCTAATAAAGCAATTTATAAACTGCTAAATAGCAGTCAATATTGGGTCAATATTGCTAAATACGCGCTGGGTTCTAAAACATCTTATTGTTCAATCCATTTGATACAGGTAATGTATGCATGCGGGGCTTATATGAAAGCAATTTCAGAATACACGTAGTGATTTGATTGATTGATTTATCTTTATTTAGGAGGCTTTCAGCGTCTAGAGATTATATCCATTAACAGGTAGAATAACAAGCCTGCTAACTGCGTGTCGATGCTGTGAAACAGCACGACTATCCAGTTGCCGAGAAGCGACCTTGCTGACAGCATTGCACGCAGTTTGCAGGCTTGGCACTCTGAGAGTTAACGCGAATGTGACGGATTCTGTGAATATATCTTACCGTGAACAATAGTGGGTTGTTTTCTGAAAGTGTTAATTACCTGTCAATAGCAGCAGCAAATCCGAGATGGCTAAACTGAATAGGTAGTAGTTGGTGGCCGTGTGCATTGATTTGTTCTTCGAAATTACGATACATGTTATCACATTCCCCAGAACTCCAATTACGAAGATGGTTGAATATATAATGCTGATCGGTATCACAATCCACAGAGAGTCACGTACATCATCCGACTCGGTCGGAATGTTGTGGTTGACGTTGCCATTATTCACATAGTAAATTCCACTCAATCCGCCCGCATAGTCGTCGTTGGGTGACACCACATCCGTTGTGGGGTCCGTACCATTAGCAAAGCTAGCATTCGAGACGCTGGTCGACAGCGAGCTGATATTTGTAAACAACAGATTTAGCTCGATGGTCGTGAAAGTAAATCGCCCGTAGTATAGTCGAGTTTTCTGCACCATTTTGTTTTTGCACGTTTGTTAGCACTTTCTTAGATTTACATTCAGGGTTGTTCCAAACACTTCGTTCACAAAACACTCGTTCTTCAGTCACGAAATAACTTTCCTTTTCCTCAGATCTTTGTGCAAAGTACTAGTAGCGGCAAGTGAACGTGTTTTATTGTACTCCGAGAAATCCAATTTATTCAGGTGGCCACTTCACTTGTCGCAAATCATCACTAGGGGTTGATATCCTGTTGAAATTGAGTCGAGCATTTTCATTAGATTGTTTTCTGGGACCGGGAATTATTGATACAGTAAAATTGGAATGTTTCAACCTCGATCAAGAGCATATACTAAAGTTCCAATAAATATTCGTCTACCATCATAACAGATTTATTCCTAACAAGCCACGGCTCCCGAATTTACGACGACGTAGGATATAAATAGGCTTTGACTGTATTAACGATTAAACATCGATCTCTTTTCAAGTTAGGTAATAAATGTACACCAACTACTGCAAGTATCAAGACAGACGTGGCATGGATGTGGCTCATGGTTATTATTATCAGAGATGTGATTGGTGCTACTCGTGATTCTGTAAGCATTAACAAATTGAACTATGTGGATTGATTTGCGGCCAGAACGATAAAATTGGCGCTTATAGAAGAGTTGTGACATGTTCGATTAAGCCAATTCGACAGTTTTTGTCATCCCCTTTAGGCAATGGTTCGTGTTCTTCCGATGATAGCAATAGATGCAGAGTGGTGTAAGACACAAGTAAATAGCCAGCAAAGCTTTTGGCACGCGCATCATGTTTTTTTTTTCGTTTCGTTTATGCTAACAAAAAAGCTGCACCGTCTATATAGGAATATGGAATCTGATCTCATATGTTGAGTTCATGCTTAAGTATCTTCTGCCACTTTACATGACTATGATTGAATTCTGCATTGGCATATTGAAATTGAAGTTTCTGAAGCTTTAGACCCACACAATTATCCATACATATTAGTTTTTCTACTTTCCAAGTTATTTCGATTACGCTAACCCCGCTGTAGAAATCCTTAATTTAATATCATTCCGGTTGTATTAAGCACGTTTGCCAAATGAAGCGTATTGGCTGATCGTATCGATGTTTGACACACGTGCACACAACTCGAGTCAACCCGGTGTAACTAATGCCGATAAAGTTTCGTTTCGTTCGTTGGAATGTCCTTTTCCTTGGGAGTAGCTTTATCGAGATTGGCCCTTTTAACTACTGTTGAATAAATGATAAGAATTGCTTCTGGTGGTATATTGGGTAGCGATGAAAGCAAATGGAATGTAAATATATTATCCGTACCGTTCAACAAAATTGGTCGATGGGTTCATAATATTTTGGTCGGCATTTGACTGTCGAAGCAAGGCTTATGGGTGAGGACATTTTAGCAAAACGTTGGCATTAAGCAAGACTCAAAAGATTGTTGGCTTCATTGGAATTCATGTCATGCCTCCAGGTGCCTTCTGCGAAGAATCGTTCCGCTCTTTGATTTCTTACACATTTCATTGACGTTGGAAATCTGGAAGGTTTATTTTTCATTCATTTTCCTTTGGTACATGAATATTCAAATATTGTTTATTGAAAAAAAGGTATATGATAGGTGTTTGAAAATAAAATGTGGATTCAAGGGTTTCTGTGCAAGTAGGTGTCTTTATGTAGACATTTCCAATCGAACCCGTCAACACATAGGCTGGAATCTACCGCTCTTAAAAAAAAATTGTTTCGTACAAAAGTGGAGGCCATATACATGCAAATGTGAATCTAGTTTCAAACGAGTTGATTTAAACAAGTTGATATACAATTTAATCTGTAATAACAAATTCAATTTGAAAAGACTTACGATGTAATCAGATTTAATTTGTGATACTGTGCGATGGAACAATGATTCATCGCATGTAAGACAGTATTTGCATTCTATAGATTTAACTTGAACATAATGCGATATATGACATTCTTATATGCGATGTTGACTTAAAATGTAGCAATTTACGATACTGTCTGTACATTGTTATACGACTTCTGGCTGTCTGTGAATGAAAACAAGAAGTGCTTATTCATCCTAGCTTTGACGCTTAGCATGACACGAGCCTGACCTGCTCTCGACTTAGTGTTCTTGAAGCACTTCCACAGTTATCATACTCTCTACATGCCAACCAAAGCATGAATTTGTATATCGTGTATCAAATACAATAATTATTTATGCCTAAGGAAGTCGAGACAATTTCCAACCCGAAAGATTATTTGAATCGGATCAGGAATCGGCATGGCAATGCCATGCCTTTACTGTCTGGCTACCTGAAGCCAAAAAAAGAAGTTTATGGATCGCATACATTTTATCTCAAAAAATCAGTTTCATAACAATATAAAAAAGGAAGTCCGTTTCTAGCCTTTTTTTTTCAACTCCCATTCCTTTTTCCAACCACATCAATAGATTAATGAGATTACCTCAGTTCGCAAACGGGTTTGTTTTTCGAACGAAGTGCGGGAAGGTTGTCAATGATTGAGAAATCTTGGACTTGAAAGAAACTGATATCCAGAGAGTAAAAATCGAGGTCCCGAATAAAAAAAATTCTCAAGCTTTCGGAGTAGGAAAATTTAAAAAAATCTGAGACATGAAAACTTTGTAACATCGCAGACAGCTAGATACGGTCACAGAATTCACCTCAAATGAGAGTTCCGTTCACTCAAATTCACTCAAATTACTGGTTCCTGAGTAATATTATCCCCGATTTTTCGCATATTCAAGCAACTCGAATATGTGTGACATTTACTCATATTAGGAGAAAATTTTACTGAGTCTATCTTTTTGTTACTGGGGTTTAATCAAATGTGCATAAACGGAATCTTGGGTCAAGAATTTCATAAAATTCAAGTTCTTTTTCGACTTAAAAAATGCAAGTAAATGAATGATACGGAACTTAATTTTTAATCGAGACCTTGGATACACATTTAATAAATTTAAAAACCAACTTGAATTATAAAGCATGGGAAACATTTTAAGATTTAACGACTTAGGCCATTCTTTGAGACTATCGATATTTTTTATTTATAGAAGTGAGAGAAAATCTCAAATCATTTGAACTGTGGTAAATATTAAATTTTAACAAATTTTAAAGGCCTTCAGCAAAATGTCAAGGTTAATATGTATTGGAAATTGCCTGCTGGGGAAATTCTCCATGATCTTTAAGTTGATTTTGTTTGAAGACCACGGAGTTAGAAAACACACATCTAACATTAGCTTAGTAGTCAGTAAAGGCACAGCTACAAAGCAAGACCATGCTGAAGGTGGCTGGGTTCGATTCTCGGTCTGGTCTAGGAATTTTTCACGACTTACGAGTACATAGAGTACGATTGTACTTACCCCACAATTATACCATTAGTATAAGCATCGAAATCTCTCAATTAATAACTGTGGAAGTGCATGTAGAATAGACTGGCCCACAAAAATAAAAGTTCTAATTTTCCACGGGCCAACCCCTAGATTTATGCCATTAGGTGAGAAAATCACTCTCTGAAAATGTATGCTCATTCGAATGTAACACGAGCTGGATTTTGTATGGGGAATTTGGATAAAATACATGAAAATATGACTCTCCTATCGATCATAAAAAAGTTTCCTTATTATTTGATTTTCAAAACTTGTAGTTCAATCGAAAAAGATTGAATCATGGATCCAGTTAGTTTTATTGAGGCATTTGCTTTTGAATGAAAATTTCAACCAAATCTCCTAAATGAACGTGAAACCAAAAGTACCAGCCCGTGTAATATCAAAAAAAGCTTAAGCATTCAGAGAGTGGTTATCGCACCAATAAACACGATCCTGGATGTTGGCCAGTGGAAAATATGAACTTTTATTAATAGCGGCAATCGTTGCATAAGCTGCATGTATTTTGCTGCAATATACGAGCAGAATACACATAGTTAACTAATATCTCCATAATGCTAATTTGAACCGTGATGCTCTTTAGCAAAGTTGTTCCTTATAGTTTAAACTAAGTGTGCTGAAATTGTCTCTGTGTATACCATACCTTGGTTTTCTTTGCATGCACGTAACCTATAGCTCATACCGTAGTAGGCTGTGCATAAAAGAAAATGATTTACTTAGTTTGACAGTTGCACCATGACGAAGTGGCAGCGTATTCGTGATTTGTCCCACGCGCAAATGTCGCAAAAAGACATTTCAATCGCCGTGGGAGGTTTTAGACCAAGAAAAGAAAGGGCAACTATCCGCGAAGGTGGCCACAGGTCGTCCGAGGTCAGCTCGGGTTCCGAGGGTTATCGCTGCTATCAAAAGGAAGATTCGAGTGAATCCAGTGCGTTCAATAAGGAAAATGGTAAAGGAACACGGGATCAGTGACTTTACGGCACGGAAGATCGTAAATGAACATTGCTGGGCGAAGTCGAGGGCACGAAAAAAAAAACTCACATGATTACCAACCGCATCCGGGAGCTACGAGTCGAACGAGTTGAACTTCCTTAAGCGAAAAAATCCGGTAATCCTGTTCACCGACGAGAGCATGTTTACCGTCGATCCCGTATAAAATTCCAGAACCGACCGGTACATTAGTTCTGTTCCGGTAAAAGACGTGGCCGACGAGCACAAGAACGTGTATCTGACCAAGCATCCTGCTAGCGTTATGGTGTTTGGATTGGTGGCTTCCGATGGCAAAAAATGGACCCGGTGTTCATTCCAGAAGGCGACAAGGTCAACACGGAGGTCTACATAGGGATTTTAAGTAAGTATGTTCTTCCGTGGATCAAAGAACAGTACGGTCCGAAGCCAAATGTTGTATTTCAACAAGATGGGGCTCCGTGCCACACCTCGAACCGCACTCAGAAGTGGTTGCAGGAACATCTTCCGTTCTGGGCGAAGGATATGTGGCCGCCATCCAGCCCCGATCTTAATGCGCTGGATTACTCAATATGGCGCGTCATGAAGGGCAAGGCCTGTTCTAAACTCCACCCGAGTACAGCAAGCCTCAGACAAACATTGACCCGTACCTGGAGAGAAATGGATCCAGACTACATTATTAGAACCTGCCGTGCATTACGGAAGCGTGTGGAGGCCGTAATTGCAGCAAGTGGAAACAGTGCGAAACCGAACTTTTTGTCAGTGCGAACCTCAACCTGAGCTAGGTTTTAAAAACAAACGAGCAAACTGACGTTTGTCAGAAAACAAGCAGACCCAATCCTGATACCCGATCCAGGTTGGAACTGAATAATAAACGAATTCGCTAATAGTTTAATGCTCTGAGAAACAAAAAACGAAATTTTTGAATTTTTTTTTAATTTTGACATTGCTCAATGGTGTAAATATTATCACGCATACGGTACTTAACAACTATTTAAGAAAAGATACTTAACAAATTGAAAATAGCCCCAGCACCCCACGTCCTCTTCTTCACCCCATCTGACTGGTGACACACTTGTAGCTTCCGGATTTATGGATCGGTACTATGGACGCCATTTTCCATGCATTTGGGATAGTGGATAGTTGTCTTGGAGCGAACGGTTGAAAACAGCAGCGATGGGCGTCGCCAGCGTAGCGGCCCAGTTCTTCAAAAACACAGGAGGCAAGCTGTCTGTTCCGGGTCCTTTCTTTGAATCAAGCTCATCGAGAACTTTCTGTACTTCGTCTGGAGAAAACTGTATACACGGTAGATTAATGTTATAGGACGGTATCTTTTCAAAACAGTTTTGACGTTGCACGGGTGATGCTTTACTAAACACGCTCTCGAAGAAAGTAGCAAAAAGATTGGCTGCTTCTGAGCTTGACCGAGAAGTAGTTCCATCGAAGTTGACTGAGCCAGGGATTCCATTTCCAGCTTTCCGTTTCTTGATGAAGTCCCAGAAGCGTGAAGGATTTTCCTTGACGGTTGACTGAATACTGAGCAAATAGTTTTCATGTGTTGCAGAAAGAATGACTTTGTACTCCAACTCAAGCTCACGGAGTCTAGCTTTGTCAGACCCAGTTTTTGTAAGGAAATATCGGTTGCGCATCTTACGTACATTGTTACGAAGGTTACGTAGCTCAGGAGTCCACCACGGTTGGTTAAAAACAGATATCGATTTTTGTCTTTTTCGAGGTACATGACGGTTGATAACTTCTGAGAGAGATTCGTAAAAAGCTGATAGCATCTGATCTACCGTACCATTATTCGATAATCGTTCCCACTCAATATCCATAAAAGTAGAGTTCAACAAGTCAAAGTCGCATGCAATGGCTTATACAATATTATGGGCAGTATACAATACATCTTAAAACTATAGTCAAAAGGTACAACACTTTATCTTCCACTATCCAAAAAGCCTCCTCCACCAGAACTGGAGCCGCTTCCAGTGGTTTCATTGTATTGCAGCAATGGACGCAAAACGTGGTCAGCACTCACAAATTCATCACTAAACGGTTGCTTACCAAAGTCAACGACGCATCGACCGAAAGAACTACTGATGAAGAACAATGAGGAGGACCACACTATGGTTGCTGCCGAGAAAAAAGACGATCGCGTGGCACACATCGAGAGTGGCCTACTTTTGTCAACAGTCGAGTGAACACTCCGATCTTATTGTCATAAAGCTTAAACTAGCAAGCATCTGGTCGCAAACTGTATTTTCTAGCAGCGCCCCTAGTAATCGGTTCTTAAATTATTCGACAGCATTTTGTTTGAAAAGTGCACATCTTGCATTGCTGAACAAATTCATCACGATTTATGATGATTCTAAAGTTATGTGATTTCGGAATAAGAAAATTTATTTTGCACAAATTGATCGAAAATCCGACGTTTTCAGCCTTAAAAATCACAAATACGTTTGAATTGGCAAAACATAATAAAAATTAAATAAAATGCAACGGGATGCAAAAATAATCACAAATGCATAATTATATAATTTGCACATATACATACACAGCACCTACATTCAGTACTCATTCAAAGTGTAATACACACATGTCACGCACCAGAAATAAAGTTGCATTGAGTAGCGATTCATTGAAGAATTAATTTCAATACCGTTTCAAAAGTTTATCACTTCCATTCATCGAAATAGTATGTTTTATGTTTTTTTCTTCTGCATACCATGATACCACTGCGACTGTAAATCATTAATCGCTCTACCACGTTGAATGAAACGCTTTAATGTTGCATACAATTTATTCAACATAATTCCTTAAACATAACTAATCCTCTGTGGCTGATTCTGGAACACACAAGCTCATTGCTCCTCTTTTAGCACATCTTCAGCTGCAGTTAATGGGAACGTTGGGCCATAATTCAATTTGGTGTGGCAAAGTTTGAGGATGGTTCATTATGCCACATTAAGATAGTATCCAGCATCACACAGCCGATTTAACGCCGAAAGCTTCGTGTATACTGCACAGAAATCCATTAGAGAATTGCACACCGCCAGCAACCTTCGCTTTTTATAGCATAGAGGAATGTATGGTCTAGGCTCACATCACTCATAACATAACATATTTCAGATTATACAGTTGGTCACTGCACTTTACTACTAATAAGAAAACATGATCGCAGAGATGGTATACAGTGGATACCGTCAGTTGCACTACTTTCACCAATCGTTTTCACATGTTCTTATACCTTAGTGGCGCGAATCACTACTGCAATCCGTGGGTATCGGTGTTTAGCGACAGACGTCCTCGGCGGTTGTAGTAGGACTAAACACCGCCAAGAGCCACCAACTGATAAGAAATCCCGCCTTGTAAGCTTCAACATGGAAACGGATCTAAAACAGCATCGCGCATGTCCGTGGCCAATACTATTCTGCTACCGGAGGATGGCTACACGGCTATTCGGACTGTTTACATCGAATAGTCACTGAACAAATTTTACTGCGGGAGCACTGATTGCTTTGTGGCTTTTGGGATTGACATGGGTTGCCGTGGTTTTATAATGTTTATATCAAAGAGTTGTACCATAACGGCGAAGTAGGCTCTTGATAAAGTTGAAAAATTACGTCAATTTATTGCCGGTAAAAGCAGTGGTTGATGCACCTGTCCTATGATAATTTCATCAGCATTTTCGAAGGGAAAAGGGTGTGTCGATATATTTTTTATTGATTAAGTAACATGTTTTGTACCGCAAATTTTTCAAATTACTGTCAGAAATGTTAGAAGTCAGACTGGAAGCCACTTAACGGTCTATAATTTAATCAACCGGTTATCAGGGATAGGATCTCAAAGCTGTAGTCAGACCACTTCAATGGCAAACATGGTGAAAATCTCCTTAGTAATAACGCCCAATAATGTAGCCATTTTAGCCCAGCCCGGGTTGGCATATGCTTGGAGATAACACGATAACATAGCTTTTCAATAAGCTTGCTTTATCGAAAATTCAAACTTTGTGCTGCGAACAACGAAAGTGTCTCTGGAAAGGCAATATTGTATGGAATAAACGATTCCCTTCTGGTTATCGCTGAAAGGTAAAGAAGCAAGGTTTACTTTTAGGTCCTACTGCGAGAAATTTTCCTGCTTGTTTCTAGGTTATTAAGTGTGTGTGTTTATCGTCGTTTAGTAAACAATATCGTGTAGGATGCAAGGATGTAGTCGAAACCATATTTACATTGATGATGAACGTATTGATTGAGCTTGTAAGAATAAGGAGAAGTTATTATGATGATTTCCATTACTTTTACTATATTTGTGATGTACATACGTTTGATGACAGTTTACAATTAGAAGTTATGCAGTAGGATCTTGATTTTGGCGCGTTATTCTTTTATTTGAGATGTAATGCTTAAAACAGCGAAAAAGGCTATCTTCCATTTATTTTCACTTAATTATTTTGTGTATCCAGGACAGATACGTATTTCGACTAGAATGTGCAGGCTTCAACAGTGTCACTAAATACTTAAGTGGAAAATAACCTTTTTTTGTTGTCTTTGAGCATTCCACTAACAACTCAATTTCATTACTTCTTTATGATGGCTACCAAGCATTTGGAGATTTTCCTTATTAAAGAGTAGTTTAGATTTTCCTCCTTTACTTTTAATAAATTCTGCTGTACGCTGCAAGTTTTTCTAGAATGCATATTGTTGTATAAAACCTTCATGAGATCATTTTGTAGCCTCAACATATTTGAGGAAACGAACTTTGTTCAAAAAATAAGCTCACATAAAAATTAAAAAAAAAAATTGTGAAAACTTCCGACGACCACATTACAGAATCTGTTCCTGTTGCGAAACATCATGCAAATCTGTAATAGAATCTTACATTTAGCGGTTGGGTGTACGGTTGTTTTGTCAACTGGATGAACGTCTGAACTTGCTGAGAAAAGAAAATTATTTTTCGAACAGAATGACGTGATGACGTACGGCACTGCTCTCCAGGCACAATGGATGAAATGGGTCGCCGGATTTGCAATAGAACTTTCACCTTCTAAACCAGGGACTAAATCTGCTTTTCAATAATCAAATTGATGATTAATATAATATAAGACATATTTACAAACAGAATTTTTCCTTAATATCACTGCCGGACAGTGAGAGTTTGATTGAATTCATACAAATCCCTTACTGATGTAGCTGGGAAACTTAAGATACTCTTACTGTTACTGTATAAAAGATATACAGAATATGTGATAAATCACCGCACCTTTCAAAGAGTTTTACTAAATTTATGTTATTTAGTTTTATGAATTAAGTTGTATTGCGATAAGTGCTGTGTTCCTAAAATTTGAGCTAAGTAATCGCACTTAATATTGACCTGCACCCTCAAATATAAATCTTCCAAAAATAACGATACGTTGTTTCAAATAGTGTATTATCCAGTTGATGTGGTATGTGCAAAACATTTGCACATTATTGCTGCTGCATGATGAGCAGCACTGTACTCTACACAACAAAACCTGATGGGTGGGAAATCGCTCTAATATTCCTTGCATATCTACAAAGTCCCCTTATCTTTACTTCTTGAACTTATTCCTAGTTCCTAAATGTTCCGTCAAAATTGTCCAAGCACTATCATTTTGTTTTTCCTTAGTTATATCAAAACAAACTTGCCTTTTTCCAAATTTTAAGAAAAACCTTGAACCATTTCTAGAAATTTTACTAAACATTCATGGGCAAGATCTCGGGTAAAACAAAGTTCCCAAAACTTCCAGTAAGGTACCAAATCAAACCCTAAATTGTTTAAGAAGTATGCTGAATTTTAACAAACATGAGCTAAGTTTTTAATAAATTCCTAGAACTTCTACCAAAAGCACTAAGCTTCCTCAATTTTGGATGCCTAATTTTTTCTAAAATCTATGCTGGAAATTTATTGATTCCGGACTTATAAACAAAAATACACTCAGAAAAGCACTGAAGATACTGCTACATGATCGTTCGATGTGTGGACAGACACTTAAGCTACCGAGTTTAAAATAATGTTCAAAATTCAGGGCTTTGAAAAAGTCTATAGAGCATAAAACTATCTTAGACCTTTTTTCATAATCTTAGACTTCGAAAACTTTCACGATGACAAAGTAAAAATTAAGTAAGAAATTGGATCCCAATTTTTGTTTATTCGAAACCTCAGAAAATTTGAGCTTGAGCATGGCATAAGCATGATTGACCGCCCATGGTTGCTACTCTGTTACTGCCAGATCAGCTGTACTTGCACAGTGAACCAATAGACGATGCTTGGGACTAGCAATCATTCTCAATGTGTAAAAACTGGTGATCTCAAACTAGGCAATACCAGCACCAGCTGCTCCCGAAGACAGGTCAAGAAAGAAATGGGTAGTAATATGTTGACGTGACACTCGCTCTGATGGAAGCCGAGAACACCTCTGCACTTTCACGAGGAATCACTAGGATATTGGGTAATAGGGTTGAGTTTGCAGCAGGGTTCATTTTGGTAAGCGATAAGCTGAATTGATGTCCTAACAATCATTTAACGCGAAGGAGCTTGGGATTAAACCCACGGTCTTCTGCTGAGTAAGCAAAAACGTTTGCCACTAGGCAAACGAGCTTCTTTTAATCATCGAATTGCTGATATTACC